TCTGTCAAGAGTAGTATGCCGTGTCAACATTGGAGACCTTCGAAGCGAAAACAGCGAGTCGGCGTATCAAGTTTTTACTGTCGAGCCACAAGTAGGAATACACTCTCTCAGGGACCGCGGAGGGGGAGGGGCTGGTAGGGCCGCGGTCCCACCACTTTTTTGCGCCCCCGCCCCTACTTTTTGCGCTGAAAAGAAAAAAAATTAAAATAAAAAAAAGACTTGAAACAAGTATTTTCCCGTCTATATTCCGCCATATTCTCTGTATTTTCTTTAATTTCAAAGGCCAGGCATTTTGTGGGACTCCTGTGCTTTAATTTTCGCGCTAATTGTGCCCTGGGGCCGACTTGCCCCTTGATCAAACGCCATGCCTTGGCCACCCCTTCGCTTCGTTCGGCAATGTGTTTTGTACTTCCAGCTCCGGCAGAGTTTTTTATCAGTTTTATCAGACGAAATGAAGAAAATTACTAGCTTTTTCAAGCCAAACGAAGGTGAGTAGTTGTTTTGAGTTGATTTGTCTTTCTCTTTTCGAATCAATGAAATATTCGATGGCAAGAAGAATTACATTACTTGAACAGTGAACCATAGTTAGAAATTTTTCAGATCACTTCAGTGTAGTATTTTCTATACTAACATTGTAATCGCGTCTTTTCTTGCAATGAATCTTTATTCCTTTTTTCGATTTTCAATATGAAAAAATTATTTTCAATTGTCAGCCCTCCCATTTTTCACCTTGCTCCGCGGTCCCTGTCTCTGCTGGCACATCTTTCTCCGGTTTGGAAGGAACTCGGCGTGAAAAAGACCCTGACCAAAGAAATTTTTAAATCTTCTCTATTTGAACGTTTGAGAAAAGCCGTCATCAATGCACATTTTATAGTCGCCGGAGAAAACGAATGCGAGAGCTCGAGCTCTACTTCACATCTCCAAAAGGAACAGCAAGACCGATTATCTGATTCAATGGACGACCTTTTTGATCAAACGGCGAAGGATTCAAGTCTTTTTTCTCTGGCTTAAGACGATGTAAGCGTCGATGTGCCTCCAGTGACAAATCACTCTCCAAAAAGCCCGCCAAGCATTGTCGAAATCCCGCCAAAATCTTATTCGCTGGAAGGAGCCCAAAACGCTGGATTACTCCAGATATTCTAGCTTCCACTTCAACATCTTAGTGTTCGCTTGGGCGATCTGTATAATCAACGTCACAGATACAGTATGGTTTCTATATCAATCATTTTAGCCTCCTTGGAATGTCAATCATAATCCAAAAATTATTATTTCAGGTTACTTTTGTATTGTTACTTGCTTTTTACTTAATAGACCAAATTATAGGGCTACCCTGTCCCTCAGAGCTTACAGGCGGCGCGCCCAAGATTCTGAGGTGAAGGTAGTCTCTCTTTTGAAATGTCGTTCATAATCCAAACAATTTTTGTAGGTGATTTTTGTAGTGTCATAGGCCAAATTATAGGGCTACCCTCTCCCTCAGAGCTCACAGGCGGCGCGCCCAAGATTCAGAGGTGAAGGTAGTCTTTCTTTTAAAATGTCGGTCATAATACAAATTATTTTTGTAGGTTGTTTCTGTACTGTCATTTGTTTTTGAAATAGGCTAAATTATGGGGCTACACTCTCCCTCAGAGCTTACAGGCGGCGCGCCCAAGATTCAGAGGTGAAGGTAGTCTTTCTTTTAAAATGTCGGTCATAATACAAATTATTATTGTAGGTCCTCTTTGTCTTGTCATTTGTTTTGAAATAGGCCAAATTATGGGGCTACCCTCTCCCTCAGAGCTTACAGGCGGCGTGCCCAAGATTCTGAGGTGATGTTAGTCTCTCTTTTAAAATGTTGGTCATTTATCCAAATTATTATCGTAGGTTATTTTTGTAGTTTCATTTGTTTTTGAAATAGGCCAAATTAATTATAGGGCTACCCTCTCCCTCAGAGCTTACAGGCGGCGCGCCCAAGCTTCTGAGGTGATGGTAGTCTCTCTTTTAAAATGTTGGTCATTTATCCAAATTATTATTGTAGGTAATTTTTGTAGTGTCATTTATTTTTGAAAGAGGCCAAATTAATTATGGGGCTACCCTCTCCCTCAGAGCTTACAGGCGGCGCGCCCAAGATTCTGAGGTGATGGTAGTCTCTCTTTTAAAATTTTGGTCATTTATCCAAATTATTATTGTACGTTATTTTTGTAGTTTCATTTGTTTTTGCAAATAGGCCAAATTAATTATAGGGCTACCCTCTCCCTCAGAGCTAACAGGCGGCGTGCCCAAGATTCTGAGGTGATGGTAGTCTCTCTTTTAAAATTTTGGTCATTTATCCAAATTATTATTGTAGGTTATTTTTGTAGTTTCATTTGTTTTTGAAATAGGCCAAATTAATTATAGGGCTACCCTCTCCCTCAGAGCTTACAGGCGGCGCGCCCAAGATTCAGAGGTGAAGGTAGTCTTTCTTTTAAAATGTCCGTCATAATACAAATTATTATTGTAGGTCCTCTTTGTCTTGTCATTTGTTTTTGAAATAGGCCAAATTATGGGGCTACCCTCTCCCTCAGAGCTTACAGGTGGCGCGCCCAAGTTTCTGAGGTGAAGGTAGTCTCTCTTTTAAAATGTCGATCATTTATCCAAATTATTATTGAAGGTTATTTTTGTATTGTCATTTGTTTCTGAAATAGGCCAAATTATGGGGCTACCCTCTCCCTCAGAGCTTACAGGCGGCGCGCCCAAGATTCTGAGGTGATGGTAGTCTCTCTTTTGAAATGTCGGTCATTATCCAAATTATTATTTTAGGTCACCTTTGTACTGTCATTTGTTTTGAAATAGGCCAAAATATGGGGCAAACCCTCTCCCTCAGAACTTACAGGCGGCGCGCCCAAGTTTCTGAGGTGATGGTAGTCTCTCTTTTGAAATTATAATTGCAGGTTATTTTTGTAGTGTCATTTGTTTTTGAAATAGGCCAAATTATGGGGCTTCCCTCTCCGTCAGAGCTTACAGGCGGCGCGCCCAAGATTCTGAGGTGAAGGTTGTCTCTCTTTTAAACTGTCAGTCGTCAACCATAGTATTATTGAATTTTCATTTTCCAGAGTTCATAGTGGTACCTTCTTTATAGTTTTACGTGATTTGTGGCAAAGACAATACCAGGCTAACAAATTTATTCTACTTTATGCGTGGGGCGACAATCACCGTGGCTGACTGGCCTCCAAAGTTCCTTTATAATTTGGACGCTTCTCAGGAGTTCCTTCACTGCTTGTATTCTAGAATTGGCGATTCTCAGCAGCTTGAAGCTCTTGCATTGCATCAGTTGTTCCTTGGACGGCGACCTTTTTCTTGTCCCGAGTACAATATCGATTCTCGATTCTCGACTCTCGATTACCGTATCTTGCTCGTGCAAGGTTTCGGCAACGGGATCAGTACTTAAACCATTGCAGGAAAACTGTTTGGTAGAAGAAGAGTTAAATGGTGGCTTCGGTGAGTTACCTGTCTGATGCTCGGTATATCACTGCCAAACTGCGCAACAGAATGCACGAAAAACCCCTGTGGTACTTGAAAAAAAAGAAAAAGAACCTGAGCGATGTAATTTAGTAACTTATTCATGGTGTTCAGCTTCCGGTTTATTCAGCTTATTGCCAGTTGTAGGCAAAGTTCACGCGCACATTATCGCATTCTAACTGGGTCGATTGTGAGGAAACTGTTATGTCAGTCATTGACTAAAAACCCCCGCGCGTTAAGCCTTTGTGCGACGGACGTCCCTTAGAAATATAAATTGCCCACACTGATCACCAATTCTACTTAAAAAGTGTTGCTGATTGAGTTGTGTAATGTATTCTAGAGTGTAAATTTAGTACTAACCTCGCAGACAAGGATGCAATGAGACATTTATTTTGCGTAGTTAGGCCTGCTATCCATTGGGCAACCATCCCTTTTATCTTCTTTCGATAGCCTGTCCATGCACCAACCTTTGGGTACAGAAACTAGCTGCCTCTCGCTGTACCAAAACTTGATAGTTTTGGCGTTCAATATTTTTAACGGGTGCTCACAAAACACCGGGACTGCATCGTGCGCCTTTGGCGCTTTGGTATCCTGCGAGCTTTGGTTCATCGCGTTTTGAAAGATGGAAATTTTGATATTCCCGCGAAAAAGAAGACCGATTAAACTCGTCTTTCATTGACTACAGTGAAACGCCCGGAAATGAAGGATGTTTTGAAAGAAACGGGAAAACTGATAAAAGTAAATATTTGTTTTGATAAGTGAAATTAATGAGAAATAACCATAAACTAGTTTTGTGTTTTTGTTTTTTAAAAGCGGTTTGTCTGGTACCAGATTTGTACAGTTACTTTCAATCAAACATGGATCGGGTTTTGTTAATTATGACAGAATGTAATTAAAAAGCATTATGTTGACAGCTACAAGGCACATGCATGCTTAAGCTGCGAGTATCCCGCCATGTTTTAAACAAAGGGCCTCTGACCAAGCTGGCATTCTAATCCGCCACAAATATGTGAAGCACGCGTCTTTCAAAGTCGCCTAGTACTTAAAATCGGGGCTCTGGCCTGTTTGAGTTTGTGATGATCGTCTCTTTAAGAGTAAAGAAACTTAGCAATACAATTTTGGTAGCATCAAGGCATGTAAAAAGGGAAGAAAACATACTTCCGGTTGACGTGCGTCGCTCAAAAAGTTAAGCTCCTTAATGGCTTGTCAAAAACGTTACATATGCCCCTTCCTATCCAATCCCTCCATGATCATTTTTCCCAAATCATAACTTCCCTTCAACTGAACAACATACTTCAGCTTCTTTCTAGCCTGCGAGCAAGCTCTCCATTTGGGCTATACTATCTGAACACTTGTTTATTTTTTCTTTAGGCTATGTTAATTAAGTAAAAGTATTATTGAAATTCCCTTTAACCCTGTAGTATATACGTAGTGTCAGGCAATGATCATTTTATTCATTTGGTAAATTCTTTGTATTAAACTTTTTAAACCAGGTTTCAAGACTGTTGCCCTCCTTCTGTTACCAAATGGCCTCTAAAGTTTACTCAGAAGAACAGCTTAACTACTTCCGGGTTTGTCACATAGCCACTGACATACTGCCCCAGGCTTTACGATTACTGTTCAAGCAGGAATGGGACAATCATTACAAGGTAACACTTGGAGAATGGAAGGACACGCCTCAAAATGGCCTGGACTTTAAAAACGGTGAGTCTCCAGCTAATCAAAGAAGACATGCCCGACTGTTGGCCACAATGGTAAATGGAGACAGGGCGCAGTGGGACTGTACTATGCTCTTTTATGCCATTCTGTTCTCTTATTCTATCGGACATCGACTGAGTCCACTGATCAAAACTAATGTTGATGATCTCAGGAAGTTTCGAAATGAAGACTTCGCTCACATGACAGAAGGTCAGTTCTCGAGTGCAGACTTCAGAATCACTGTTGCAAAAGTGGAGACAGCATTTCGAGCTCTTGGCCTGTCTACTGTTGAAATCCAAACAGTAAGTAAGCAGAAAAGTTTTCCCACCGATGAATTGCAAAATGTGACGACAAGTAATCAGAAACTTACTCAAGATCTTCAGACGAAAGTTTTGGAACTTCAAGACAAAGATACTAAATTGCAGGACAAAGCTAAAGAGCTTATGGAGAAAGATATCGAATTTCAGGAAGAAAAAGTCAAGTTTGAAGGGAAGGAAGCGGAACTTCAAGACAGGCTAAAAACTACTGAACAACATCGCAAGGTCTTTGAAGAGCAACTACAGCGCGAAGTAGAGCCATTTTGCGTCCTTCCACCCAGACCTCCCCATGTGATCGCAAGTCGCAATTGCCACGTTGACAAAGTAACACAGAAGCTGTTAAAGTTAAGGAAGGCTAACGAGAACACTTTAATTTATTGCTATATTTCAGGCAATCCTGGGAGTGGCAAATCTCAGCTGGCTGGACTTGCTGCTGAGAAATACTACAAAGAAGCCAGCAAAGACACAACTGCTCCGTCATTTGTCATGACTTTAAGTGGTGAAAACCTAGAAGCGCTTTTAACATCATACCTGTCACTGGCAAGAAGAATGCACTGCCCCGACAGTACTATAAATACCACTGAGAACTCCAAGGATCTAAATAATGAACGGAAAATAGCCATTATCAAAGATTTAATTGTGAGAAAAATTCACCTTTACTCATCTTGGCTCTTAGTGATTGACAATGTCACAAATCTTCGTTTGATAGGGCAGTTTCTTCCTGAGCGTGGAAGTGAGCAGTGGGGCAAAGGCCAGCTGCTAATCACAACGCAGGATTGCTCCTGTATCCCTCCAGATAGTTACCTCACATCCCACATCTCCATAAGCAAAGGCATGGAGCCTGCTGATGCTATTTGCCTTCTAACCGAGCTCTCTGGAATCACTGACAATGACATGGGAGAAAACGTAGCCCACGCATTGGATTACCAGCCACTTGCACTAGCCAGCGCAGGAGTGTACGTGGGAAAGGTGCGAAATACCAATCCAAACTTTAACTGGGAGGGGTACTTAGAAAAACTAGAGAAAGGCAAACGTGAACTCACTGAAAAGGAACTAGCCAAAGTAAACAGTATTCACCCAAACTCTATGACTGTAGCGACCAAGATAGCTCTTGAAACGGTAATGGATTCTGATGACATAATGAAGCATGCTTTCACTTTTCTTGCTTTTTGTGCTCCAGAGCCACTGAGGTTAGACGTATTAACCACTTACGTTGTAAATGCTGATGGAGAGTTGGATAAAGAGGACATAGGCATTCAGATTCAAGGGTCCTCTCTGTTGCTACTCGAAAAAGAGGATGATGTCAACATTCGTTTACACAAGGTGGTACACGATATTGTCAAGCGTTTAGTTAAAGACCAAATGGAGGCTAATGAACATGCTCGCGTTGCTTGCGTCGCAATAGGGTCATGCAGGCAGTACATTCATGAAGCAATACCAGAGACCCTGCGAAGTAAGGATTCCGTCGGTGGAAGCAGACATATTGTTCCACACGTAAAAACTCTAGCTGTAGGAATAACAAACATTGTCTCTACTGAAGAGAAATTCAGTCTCATCAAAAACACTATTCTAAATATACACAATTCTATAGATAACTTTGAGATACTTGGTGAAGTTTGCTGCTTTCATAGCGAGTATGTGTCCGCAATGAAGTATTTCAGTGTAGCTTTAAAACTCATTGAAGACAGTACGATAAGGACAGGCCCTAACCATGGACATGTTAAGCGGGTCTCGCGTATNGCATGGAGCCTGCTGATGCTATTTGCCTTCTAACCGAGCTCTCTGGAATCACTGACAATGACATGGGAGAAAACGTAGCCCACGCATTGGATTACCAGCCACTTGCACTAGCCAGCGCAGGAGTGTACGTGGGAAAGGTGCGAAATACCAATCCAAACTTTAACTGGGAGGGGTACTTAGAAAAACTAGAGAAAGGCAAACGTGAACTCACTGAAAAGGAACTAGCCAAAGTAAACAGTATTCACCCAAACTCTATGACTGTAGCGACCAAGATAGCTCTTGAAACGGTAATGGATTCTGATGACATAATGAAGCATGCTTTCACTTTTCTTGCTTTTTGTGCTCCAGAGCCACTGAGGTTAGACGTATTAACCACTTACGTTGTAAATGCTGATGGAGAGTTGGATAAAGAGGACATAGGCATTCAGATTCAAGGGTCCTCTCTGTTGCTACTCGAAAAAGAGGATGATGTCAACATTCGTTTACACAAGGTGGTACACGATATTGTCAAGCGTTTAGTTAAAGACCAAATGGAGGCTAATGAACATGCTCGCGTTGCTTGCGTCGCAATAGGGTCATGCAGGCAGTACATTCATGAAGCAATACCAGAGACCCTGCGAAGTAAGGATTCCGTCGGTGGAAGCAGACATATTGTTCCACACGTAAAAACTCTAGCTGTAGGAATAACAAACATTGTCTCTACTGAAGAGAAATTCAGTCTCATCAAAAACACTATTCTAAATATACACAATTCTATAGATAACTTTGAGATACTTGGTGAAGTTTGCTGCTTTCATAGCGAGTATGTGTCCGCAATGAAGTATTTCAGTGTAGCTTTAAAACTCATTGAAGACAGTACGATAAGGACAGGCCCTAACCATGGACATGTTAAGCGGGTCTCGCGTATTTACCATAACACAGGTCTCCTTCATAGTAAATTAAGTGACTATCAACAGGCCAAGGAGTATTTTGAACGTGCCCTGTCCATAGAACTTAATAAGCTTGGACCCGACCATGTTGACGTCGCGCGTACTTGCCATAACATGGGTAACCTACACTGCAACCTGGGTGACAATCAGCAGGCCAAGAAGTATTATGAACGTGCCCTGTCCATACAACTTAATAAGCTTGGACCCGACCATGTTGACGTCGCGATTACTTACCATAACATGGGTATCTTACACTGGAACCTGGGTGACAATCAGCAGGCCAAGAAGTATTATGAACGTGCCCTGTCCATACAACTTAATAAGCTTGGACCCGACCATGTTGACGTCGCGGCTATTTACCATGACATGGGTATCCTACATCGTAACCTGGGTGACAATCAGCAGGCCAAGAAGTATTATGAACGTGCCCTGTCCATACAACTTAAAAAGCTTGGACCCGACCATGTTGACGTCGCGAGTACTTGCCATAACATGGGTATCCTACACTGGAACCTGGGTGACAATCAGCAGGCCAAGAAGTATTATGAACGTGCCCTGTCCATACAACTTAATAAGCTTGGACCCGACCATGTTGACGTCGCGCGTACTTGCCATAACATGGGTATCCTACACTGCAACCTGGGTGACAATCAGCAGGCCAAGAAGTATTATGAACGTGCCCTGTCCATACAACTTAATAAGCTTGGACCCGACCATGTTGACGTCGCGCGTACTTGCCATAACATGGGTATCCTACACTGGAACCTGGGTGACAATCAGCAGGCCAAGAAGTATTATGAACGTGCCCTGTCCATACAACTTAATAAGCTTGGACCCGACCATGTTGACGTCGCGCGTACTTGCCATAACATGGGTAACCTACATCGCAAACTGGGTGACAATCAGCAGGCCAAGAAGTACTATGAGCGTGCCCTGTCCATACAACTTAATAAGCTTGGACCCGACCATGTTGACGTCGCGGCTATTTACCATGACATGGGTATCCTACACTGGAACCTGGGTGACAATCAGCAGGCCAAGAAGTATTATGAACGTGCCCTGTCCATACGACTTAATAAGCTTGGACCCGACCATGTTGACGTCGCGGCTATTTACCATGACATGGGTATCCTACACTGCAACCTGGGTGACAATCAGCAAGCCAAGAAGTATTATGAACGTGCCCTGTCCATACGACTTAATAAGCTTGGACCCCACCATGTTAAGGTCGCGGCTACTTACCATAAAATGTATGTTACATCGCAACCTCGGCGACACTCAGCGGGCCAAAGAGTATTATCAACGTGCTCAGTATATTATATTGAATAAGCTTGGACCTGATCATGCCAAGGTCACGAAATTGTCCCTTCTGTTTGACGTGCAGCGTGTTTTGGATTTCCAGCAGCAGGCGCCTGATGCATATGACCGTACACAAAAGCGTGGACCGGATCAAACTGATTTGGAATTTGCTAATTGCAAGAGGCGTCGCTAAGATGACTCTTCACTATTTTCAAATAATGTTGTTGATAACCTACTGCGTCGTTTCGTTCTTTACATTTAAACGACTCAAATAACTGCAGTTTTGTAGAATTTTAGCACACGTGATATTTATACGGATTAGTTATGTAGGAGTATAGAATAGTAAATTCAAGAGTTTGCGAGACTGTCCACTTAATATGGACACCTGTTAAAGCGGACAACGGACACTTCTTTCTTGCCAAATCAACACTGAGATTCTCATAGAAAGTCAACCTCGCTGATAGGGATACTTCATTATCAATTGTGTTTTGTAATAAAACTTTCCTTCTTGAAGGTTAAAAGTCTTTCAGTTGACAGCATGTCGATGTTCCCAGCGCTAACAGTACATCATATAGGATAATCTGAGAGGCCAATTTTAAGCTTACTTTTGGCATCAAACGAGTTATGTAGAGAACGGTTTTGATGATTAACATATACCTTATTCTTACTAAATTTCGCGATTTTCGCGATTTTAAAAAATTCGCGAAACTTAATACGCGCAGACCAAAGGTTGCGCGAAAATTCAATACCATTTTTTATTTTTTTCCAAGCTTGAGAGCGGGCGGAATCCTCCAAATCCTGCAATCTGATTGGTTCCGAGAGCGGGTGGTATTTTACGATCTTGCCCGCTTACCCGGGCGGAATTGTTGGTAGCTTCATTCACAAGTTTGTTTGTTGTTTGTGAATGAACAAAACCGTCATTTTCAAACCATTTTTCTTTTTAAAACTTGTGCTATTAGCATTAGCTGGGGAAAAGTGAATTTAGTATTCACTCAAAATATGTGAAGGGAGAATCAAGCAAGTCCTCTATCGCTTTCTGTTCAGCCAACAGTTATGATTTGTCTTGTTCATAAGGTTCTATGTACATGTAGGATAGTTTTAAATTAATAGTTTAGCTCTTGAAATGTACAGTGGAACCCCGCCTTACGACCACCCCGTTTATAAGACCACCTCGTTATTACGGCCATTTTCTTTCAAACCAACCGTAAAAACCATTGAGTCATTTTATTATTTTGAAGACCCCGTTAATGGGACCACCTCGTTACTACGACCAGGATTTTATGGCCCAGAGGTGGTCACATTAACGGGGTTCCACTGTATACGTTTTATTGATTTGTGACAAGTGCCGTTTGCTCAGGATGAAAACAAAGACACTATAGCGAAATTTAGTACCCTTTTTCTCTAATTTTTTTTAGCAATCGCGAAAATTAGTCCTCGCGAAATGCAGCTCCCGAATATTCCCGAAATTAAATACGCGCGAAAATTAATAAGATTAAGGTAGATAGCGATTTTTGAGAAAATCCGTGGATTTGATCCGTGGAATGAAAGCAAGACATGTTTTAAAATTTGACGATGCTAAAGTCCTCTTTTATTTCTTTAAAAGTTTGTGCTAATAAAAGGTGTTGTTTTACTTTAACAACGTAACACGCAAGCAGTTAACGCCAGTTAATACGTACACCCTGTTTATACAAACACTTTCTATGGACCCTTCAGTGTCCGTATTAACGAGGTTTGACTGAACAGTGTTTATTGATAACATGACCTGCGGGACACCCCGTTAATCAATACGGACACTTTCTATGGGCCCTTCACTGTCTGTATTAACGGGGTTTGACTGAACTGTGTTTATTGATAACATGACCCGTGGGACACCCCGTTAATCAATACGGACACTTTCTATGGATCCTTCAGGTTCCGTATTAACTGACTATTTTCGAATTCCCCACAATACATTCTGTTTGCCCCCCAAATTTTGCATAACTTATTGTCTTAAAATGCTCTTGGGAAAATGCAATACTCTCAGGAGCATTTAAAAACAATGGTTTATGCAAAATTTGGGGGGCAAACAGAGTGTATTATGGGGAATTCGAAAATAGAGAATGGGGTTTGACTGAAAAGTGTTTATTGATAACATGACCCGCAGGACACCCCGTTAAACAATACGGACACTTTATATGGCCCCTCCAGTGTCCATATTTACGGGGTTTGACTGAACAGTGGTTATTGATAACATGACCCACGGGACACCCCGTTAATCAATACGGACACTTTCTATGGACCCTTCAGGGTCCGTATTAACGGGGTTTGACTGAAAAGTGTTTATTGATAACATGACCCACGGGACACCCCGTTAATCAATACGGACATTTTCTATGGACCCTTCAGGGTCCGTATTAATGGGGTTTGACTGAACAGTGTTTATTGATGACATGACCCGCGGAACACCCCGTTAATCAATACGGACACTTTCTATGGACCCTTCAGGGTCCGTATTAATGGGGTTTGACTGAACAGTGTTTATTGATGACATGACCCGCGGGACACCCCGTTAATCAATACGGACACTTTCTATGGACCCTTCAGGGTCCGTATTAATGGGGTTTGACTGAACAGTGTTTATGAATAACATGACCCGCGGGACTATCAAAATATCTGCGGTACGAAGTTTAGCAGATATTTGTTTTCTGCGCGTTCTGAATTTGGTATTTTCATTGTGTTTTTCAATGAAGTGTTCAGTAGTTACGTAATACGTGTTAATTGCGTTTCATATATAGTTGTTGTCAGTCAGTATGTTCTTCCTTCGGGTCTGCAACGCCACACGCTACAACACTGTTCTTTTATTTTTATGTTATGGATTTTATTTTCATGTTTTTCTGTATGTGTTCCCCTTTTTTCAGTGCGGGGATTTTGGTCATTTGAGTTCCACGTGCTTGAAGCCTGCGGATTCTTCGAAGAGTAGCTCTCGACGCGATTGACTAGATGGCGACTCGTCGACCTGTGATGAAGTTGAGTGTGATTTAATTCATTTATTGTCTTGTTGTGGCGACGAGTTTAGTGCGAAAGGCGGAAGCAGTGGCGTGAAAGGTCGCTTGCAATCTTCGTTTAACTTTTGGGTCGAGACTTTAGATGCACCAGATTTTGTCCTTGATATGATTAGGCGCGGTTACAGATTGCCGTTTGCCGAGTACCCCTCGCAGTGCTTTTTGAAGAACAATAGATCAGCTCTTCAGCATCCGGAATTTGTCGCTGATGCTATTAGCGAGCTTTTAAGTAACGGCTGCATTGTTGAGCACGAATTCCCCCCGTATTGTGTTAATCCTTTGACAGTCGCTGTTGGGAAGAAGCTTCGCCTGGTTATCGATCTGAGACACGTAAACAATTATTTAGTAAAACCTATATTCAAGTACGAGGACTTACGATCGCTTTCTCAAGTTCTCGATGAAGGACACTGGTTTTTCTCTTGGGACCTTAAGTCCGGTTACCACCATGTCGATATTTGTCTCGACCACCAAAAGTACCTTGGTTTCGCGTGGCCTTTTTCTGGCGTCGTCAGATATTTTTCCTTTACAGTACTGCCTTTCGGGTTAAGTAGCGCTTGCTTTTGTTTTACCAAGTTAATGCGCCCGTTAGTTAGGCGTTGGCGTTCTATGGGACACAACAGTTTCATTTATTTGGACGATGGTTTCGGGAGTCGACCAGACAAATGTTCTGCCGTGGCAGCTAGCTTAATTCAACGTAAAGAGCTCTCTTCATCTGGTCTTCTTTGTAACGAGGAAAAGTCTCACTGGGATCCAGTTCAAATTGGCGAATGGCTAGGCTTCGTTATTGATACTATTTTAATGTGTTTCCGGATTCCCGAGAAGAAAGTTCTCAAGCTTAAAGGCTTGCTAGATTCTGCGATTCAGGATGGATTCTCTTCATTTCGCGAGTTAGCGAGAATAGCAGGCACTATCATTTCAGCTGCGTTAGCTGTTGGTCCAATTTCTCGTCTTTTGACCAGACAAATGTACTTCGCCATTGAAACCAGATCGGCTTGGGATGACATAATTCATTTTCCTCCGAGCCTTTTACAAGAACTGAAATTTTGGTATTGCAACATCGACTGCTTAAACGGCTATTCTATTAGGCCACCGTTAGCTACGCATACCGTTGTATTTTCCGATGCTAGCGACGTAGCGTTCGGAGGATTTTCGGCTACTTTAGACGGCTCCGTCGTTAGCGGCATGTGGGAGAGCGAGGATATCGGCCAAAGCTCTACGTTTCGCGAGCTGAAAGCAATTTTTTACGTGTTGCTTTCTTACGTGGCTCAACTGAAACACAAGAGAGTTAAAATCTTCACTGATAATCAGGCCGCCGCCAGAATAGTTGCTATCGGAAGCTCCAAATCTCACCTCCAGGCCCTGGCTATGGATATTTTCAATCTTTGTCTTGCCAACAGCATCGTTCTCGAAGCCCAGTGGATCCCTAGGTCTCTTAATGAAAGAGCAGATCTTCTTAGCAGATTTATTGATAAAGACGACTGGTCCATCAATCCCTCGGTATTTCGACTTGTCGACGCTAAATGGGGCCCTCACACAATTGATCGCTTTTCGTCCTATTACAATGCCCAGCTTCCGAGGTTCAACTCTAAATTTGCTTCCCCAGGTTGCAGCGGTGTGGACGCCTTGGCTCAGGATTGGCGACATGAGAATAACTGGGTTTGCCCTCCGGTGGGTGCCATTGTGCCTTCAGTTAGGGCTCTCTCGTCCTGCTCCGGTTACGGCACTTTGATCGTTCCACAATGGCCTTCGGCCTATTTTTGGCCTTTTTTGCACGACAACGCCTCCCAGTTCAAGTCTTTTGTTAAAGAAGTGTTTGAGCTTCCTTGTATTGAAGACCTCTTGCTGGAGGGTCCAGGACAGAAGCAGATTTACAAAGCGCGTCCGTCGGTGTTCAGCGGCTGCCCGAAATTTAAAATGTTAGCTTTGCGGATAGATTTTAGGTGAGCTTTCCCATTTTTGTCTCCCCTTACAGCTCATTATTGTCGGTGTTTTAGGTTTATCTTTTGTTAGCTTCGTTTTGGTATTATTTATTTGCCTGATTCGGCACCGTTATCATGTCTGCTTTGGCAGTGTATTTTTGCCTGATTTGGCAGCTTTGTTTTGCCTGTTTTGGCAGCGTATTTTTGCCTGATTTGGCGGTGTATTTTTTGCCTGATTTGGCAGCGTCTTCTTGGCTCGGAGTTCGATGTCCGCTTCACCACGCAGTTTGCCTGTTTTGGCGCCGTCAGTGGGCCTTATTTTATGTTTTATTTTATTGGTCTACATTTGTTTTATCGAATGTTTGCTATTTTGTTGTATTTTTTACAGTTTTTTAAAGCATTACTGGGCCCAGCCAGTTCGGCTTCCGTTTGTCGTTGTTTCTCATTACATGTCGTTTTTACGCTGTAGTACTGTCCGTGCTGCATGATTATGATGCAGCATCATATTTTCTACTGTATTATAATTTTAAATGTTTTGCCTTTTCCTGCCTAGTTTTATTTTATTTTTTAGATGTTCTCCAATCCGGGATTTGGAGTGAAGCGAATTCTCTGGCCGATCCATCCTTGCGCAAGCTTGTTCCAGACCTTCTCCATTTACAGTTTGAGTCCAAGGCTCCCTCTACCGTGCAGAAGTATAGATCTGGCTGGATCAGATGGCGTGAATGGGCAGATTCTAAGATTGGCGTTTCAGTTATTCCAGCGAAGCCACTGCACATTGCTCTCTTTATCAGCGAACTTACTGCTGTTTCTATTTCTAATAATACGGGGATATCTCCTATAGAGTCAGTTGTTTATGGTATTAAGTGGGGTCATAGTCTGGCCGGTATTGTAGAATGCCCTAGAGCCTTTATCCGTTGACACAGTTTTAAGGATCGCTGAATATTATATTTCTAGTAGTTCGCTTGCCGTTATTCGTTTTCTTTTCGTCCTCTTGGTTGGCTTTGCTGGGTTTTTTCGTATGGACGAAATTCGCAATTTGACAGTTAGAGATGTCTCTATTTTCAACGAGTACATGTCAGTTTTTATTCCTAAACGCAAAAATGATCAGTATAGAGAAGGGCATACGTCCTTTCTAGCTAGGTCTCATAAGGCTACTTGCCCAGTTTCTATCACCGAAAGGTTACTTAAGCTTTTCCCTTCAACTTGTGAGTCATCTTCGCCCCTCGTTAGGCGAATCGTTAAAACTAAGTCTAGGGAGTGTTTTCATGCTTCTAGAGGAGTTTCATATTCAACGCTAAGAGATGAATTTAAGAAATTTGTTAAACCATTTGTAGGTGACATTGCTCTTTACGGCACGCACAGTATAAAGTCTGGTGCCGCCTCAAATCCTGCTTGTCGGAGTGTTTCCGCTGATCTGCTAGATATGCATGCTGCTGGCTGGAAATGTGCCACTTCAAAGAACAGATACATTAAGCACACCGTTAGTGATCGCTTAAAAGTTGCTCAAACTATTGCTATTTAGTTTTCGTTTGTTTATTACAATTATTTAGTTTATTAGTAGTCTTGGCGGGGGACTTAAGTCGTGCCTGGCCCGCCCCAGATTTCCTATCCCTTTTTCCCCACGGGGTTTTTTAGGTTAGGTTTTTTCTGGCCCCCCTGGCACGGCTTACTCTATTTGACGTTTTCATTTCTATTTTGTACTAGTTGTTTGCATTTTCTTTAATAAAGTGGCGTTATGGCGTTACCGCACAGGCCATGATCCAATATTCTCAGTGATTTGCTGCATTTGTGTTTATATTTATATAGGTTAGTGCAGAAAGCCTGTAATCAATACGGACACTTTCTGTGGACCCTTCAGGGTCCGTATTAATGGGGTTTGACTGAAATGTATTTACATTCGGCGGAGCTAAACGTAGTGGCAGTGACAGAGAATGTAAATACTTTCCTATTGGTATGAACGCACGTGAGCCGTTATGGCGTTAATTGACTCTATTATTATTAGGTATATAAGGTTTTGACAGTTGTAATGTATTCATCTCAGCTCTCGAACTCTCAACTTTAAAAATGCCGTCCGATGCTGATCTCGCGCGTAGCATTTCCGAGCTCAAAGACGAGTTTCGTTCTGGCTTATCTTCTTTAAAGAGAGAACTTGCACAAGAACACGACGCTGCGCTGAAGAAGCTCAAGACAGCTACTGCTAGTGTTCCGAAATTTAAAAAGAAAGGCAACGAGAAGCAGTTCTTACTTAATTCTGAAGTTCTTGAACACGTCCATTCTGCTTCGACCGCCCTTCAGGCGTCTTCGCCTCAAGTTGAAAAGGCCTTGGAAGAGTTAAAGGAAGGTGAGAAGAAGCTCTCTCATCGTAATAAGCTCATTCTTATTGCCAATTCCTCCGAAGAGGGGTGGGAAGTCGTAAACGAGTACCAGCGTCGGGATCTTGCTGATGACAGCGACGATTACAAGCGTATAAGGCAGGCTGAAGTAAGGACTTCACAGAAACGCCGGCGAGCTCAATTGGCGAAGAAAAGTTCGTCTCTCCGTCCTCAAAAGCCCTCCACTCCGCCGGTTCCCTCGCTGTCCTACGTCGTTTCTGGTTACGGCACTCCAGTCTCTCCTTCTTATCCTGCCGTCTCTCTACCAGGTTCTAATTTTTCGAATCCGTTCGGTGCTGTCAATTGGCCTAAGGCTCACCGTGGTTCGCGTGTTGGCAGTTGCCTTGCTTGTGGCAGCTTCGGCCATTTCAGGAATCAGGATGTTGGTGCACTCGTCGAGGACACAGATAAGTTAAGGAACTTTGTTGAAGATGATATTGACTTTTTTGAATATGAATAGGGTCGTAGTTCTACTATCGTTGTAGCCGGTAGGCTAAAATCCCATATTCAGTTTTGGCGTTCTATAGCTGCCAGTCAATTTATTCTAGATGTCATCGAGCATGGTTATCGTATTCCTTTCCACTCTACACCCCCTGTTAGTTTTTCCAGTAATAATAAGTCAGCTTTGGCGCATTCTGATTTTGTTAACGAAGCTATTTCCGAATTGTTGGTTACCAATCGCATTTTTGAATCGGGGGTCCTGCCCCATAACGTCAACCCTCTCTCCGTTTCTATTCAGTCATCTGGGGAAAAGAGGTTGATCTTGGATCTTAGGTTTGTAAATAAGCATGTCTGGAAGCAAAAGGTCAAGTTTGAGGATGTTAAGGTTGCTCTAAATTATTTTGACAAGGGTCATTTCATGTTTTCATTTGACATTAAGAGCGGTTATCATCATGTGCTTATCTTCCCGCCCCACCAGACATTTTTGGGTTTTTCCTGGTTTTATCAGGGTAAGGTCCGTTATTTTTGTTTTAGGGTCCTGCCCTTCGGCCTCTGTTCAGCCCCTTTTGTTTTAACAAAGATTTTTAGGCCTCTCGTTGCCTACTGGAGGCGGGATGGTATTCACATTGTTGTTTATCTTGATGATGGTTTAGGGGAGGGGCCTTCATATCAGGTTGCTTTAACCCATTCCACCAGGGTTAAGACTGATTTGGTTCGTTCTGGCTTTGTACCCAACCTCGAGAAATCTGTTTGGGTTCCTACATCAGTCCTTGATTGGTTGGGTTTCACCATTGATCTTTTTCAGGGTTTGCTTTTTGTTCCCGGGATAAAGCTCAAGCGGGTTGTTTCTGATATTGATTCCCTTTTAGAGGCTAATTGTTGCACCGCCAGGGAACTGTCCGCTCTTGCTGGTGATATTAATTCCTTTAAACTAGCTGTTGGTAATGTTACTACACTGATGACAAAGTTTATTCATATGTCCATCGTCCTTCAGCCTAGTTGGGACTCTAGGTTTCCTTTGTCCGATTCTGTCAAAGAAGAGCTTTTTTTCTGGAAAGAGAACGTTCGGTGTTTGAATGGGAGGCCCATTGGGTGTCACTTTTCATGTTCTCTTTCCATTGTTTATTCAGATGCTAGTGACCTAGGGGTTGGCGGTGTTGTTAAAGACCACCAGGGTGTTATTTGTCATCTTCCGTGGACTGCTAATGAAATGTTTCGCAGCTCCACGTGGCGTGAGCTTAAGGCAGTCTATATTTGTCTCTCTAGTTTTTCCGTAGTTTTGTCAGGGCGCGCAGTTCAATGGTTCACGGATAACCGCAACATTCCGTCCATTATTCGCAACGGGAGTATGAAGCGGGATTTGCACGAAATTTCCCTCTCTATTTTTCAACTAGTTTTGCGAAATGGTATTGATTTGCAGGTGGACTGGATTCCTAGGTCTCTCAATGAGCATGCGGATGCCATAAGTAGGATCGTTGGTTTTGATGACTGGGGTGTTTCGTTTGAATTTTTCCACCATGTAGACAACATTTGGGGTCCACATTCCGTAGATCGTTTTGCCAATTCCCATAACCGCAAATTACCCAGATTCTTTTCCCGTTTCTGGAATCCTGACTCGGAGGGGGTGGATGCCTTTTGGCGGGGGAGAATAACTGGCTCGTTCCCCCAGTGTCCCTTGTTCCCCGGGTTATTAGGCATTTGTTTGTATGTAGGTCTATTGGCACTCTTATTGTCCCCAAGTGGGTCTCAGCTCCATTTTGGCCCATGCTCTTTGGTCCCATTCCCCCTTTTCCGTTTGCGTTAAAGAGACCATTGTTTTTACCTATGTTTCTAATATTTTTGTTCCGGGCTCTACAGAGTCTATTTTTGATGGCCCTAAATTTAAGTCTCATGTATTAGTCGTCCGTTTGTCGGCTTGTTAGATTTGTTCTTCTAGGCTTAGTTTCCTTTCCGCAGTTACGTCTAGTTACCTTGTTTCGCCTATATTAAAGTGTGGTTTATTATTTTGAGTGATTTGTTCTGTTTTTTCTTTTGCCTCGGTGGCGTTTATGCGGGTCTCGGTGACCTTGTTTGTACCTTCACTGATCCCGACGGGTCGTACCGTTACATTTTTGTGTGACCTCGGCCAGTTTTTAATCCTTCCAGGTCCCCCATTCATATGGTCGCGTGCGCCTCGGTGGCCACTCTCTTGTTATCTTATGTACCTGTGTGATAGTTGTATCTACATATTACGCGCGTTTCCTTTTACCGCTCCTTTTTTTCTCGTGCATCTTTCCTTTTTTAAGTCCTTACATTGAATCCATCTAGTCTTCTATTTCTTCTGTATTTTCAGATGTTTTCGCTGGCCCTATGTGGGCTGAGCGTAACGATGTCAAAGCTCCCTCCCTACGCTGCTTAGCAGAAAAGCTACCGGAGTTAGTCCTTGGTTGCAGGGCAGATTCCACTACTCTCACCTACCTCAACGGTTTTAAGCGATGGCGTGCGTTGGGCCAACAGATTTCCCGAGGTCGTAGAGCTGCCTGCTACACCGGCTTATGTTTCTTTATACCTGCTCAGTGTTCTCCAGGCTTCTAGTTCTCCTGCGCCGTTCCAGAACGCCTTCTATAGCATTCGCTGGGCTCATGATATTGCTGGTTTCGACTCTCCTACCAATCATACACTTCCCCAGAAGGTCGTGGAGTCCGCTAAGAGAAAGCTATTACACCTTACTTCCAAAAAACCTCCCCATTACACCCGAAATTTTACAAAAGCTGTTTCAGAGTCTCGATGGATCTTTGGTGGACACAAGATTCATGCAGCCATAGCGTTATTGGCCTTTGCGGGGTTCTTAAGATTTGATGAATTGGCTAATCTGAAACTTAAGGATTTAGCGCTGCATGACACTCATTTTCAACTTTTTATAGAAAGCAGTAAAACTGATCAATATCGCGAGGGCGCTATTGTCCCCATTGTCAAGTCTGGCACGGATCTTTGCCCCTGGGGTAATTTAGAGAAGTATTTATCGCAAGCTAAACTCACGTTACCGACATCTTCCCAAGGTGGAGACGACTATTTGTTCGGAAATATTCAAACCAAGTCTGGCCCTCAGTCCATCCGCCCAGGCTCCAAACTGTCTTATACAAGATGTAGAGACGTTTTATTGAAGAAGATTGCAGACGTAGGCTTAGATCCTAAGTCTTTCTCTTGGCACAGCTTCAGAAGTGGCGGTGCATCTGCCGCCGCTAATGGTGGTATCTCCGATAGAATGTTTAAGCGCCACGGTAGATGGCGTTCGGAAAACGCTAAGGATGATTACGTTGCAGATTCGTTAGAGAGCCGATTAGCGGTCTCTATGTCTCTTGGACTGTAATTGTTTTCCGTTCTTTGTTTTCTCAGCCGCTCCTTAGTTCGAGCTGCACGCCCATTCCCATCTCTTAGTCGTGAATATAAATAGGAAATGTATTTACATTCGGCGGAGCTAAACGTAGTGGCAGTGACAGAGAATGTAAATACTTTCCTATTGGTATGAACGCACGTGAACCGTTATGGCGTTAATTGACTCTATTTTTATTAGGTATATAAGGTTTTGACAGTTGTAATGTATTCATCTCAGCTCTCGAACTATCAACTTTTATTTTTATATCTTACTTTATTCATCTATCGATTAATTTTTTGCCTTTAACCCCCAGAGGTTGTGCGACCCCATCGGTTGGGGAATACGTTCCCGATTTTTTCCCATTGGGTTTTTGGGTTTTCGTATCAGGCGGCGCACGTGAATAGTTTAGCCTGAGTGACTTTACTTAGGGATATTTGTATACCATTCTTTAGTTATGATGTTGAACTTTGAACTTTGTATGATTATATTTGGACGGCATTAAACACTCAGGCTCCTTAGTTCGAGCTGCACACCCATTCCCGTCTCTTAGTCGTGAATATAAATAGGAACAGTGTTTATTGATAACATGACCCGCAGGACACCCCGTTAATCAATACGGACACTTTCTATGGACCTTTCAGTGTCCGTATTGACGGGGTTTGACTGTACTTAGCTAGTTAATGCTCTTCCGCGACTACACGGAGAGATTTAGCTCGGTCTTTTGCAAGGTGCTGGATACCGTACTGCACTCGATTAAACGCCGCGGTGTTTACATTCTATTAAAAATTTTAAGCGTTTCCAATGCGGTGTTAATTCAAAGGCGGTGTTTACTTTAAAATAGAATTTCTAAAGTCTCTAACAACGATTACGGTAAATCATTTGTGAATATTATGTAAAACAGGAAGATATACATTCAAAGTTCCAATGTCAAACTTTTTTGCCAAGATAGAGTTCTACTGTACTGTAATTATCTGAATGGTGTAGATTACCCTAATAACTATGTCCTCTTCCCCCGTTGTCATGGCGGATACGACTACCCAGATAGGGGAAATTTTTGACATAATTTGTATACAATGAGTTCATGAAACATTCATATTGTAAGATAGGCTACTTTATTTTATTATAATACTTTTTGTTAATGCGCAAAAGAGCAAGCGCACTTTAAATGAATTCACCTTCTCTCATACCAAAGCGACATGTCCTGTTTATTGCGCAGGCCCCATGCTTCAAGCTGATTGGCTACTCTCTATTACTTATTGTATTTTCTTGGATTTGATTGGCTTATACAAGCTGACCTATTTTCAATAGGAAAGTCAGTATTAAACTATCCAAATTAATCCTTAATTGGACAATTCTTTAAAATTCTTTAAAGGATAATAGCTATGTTGACAATATCGGATTAACTTCCAGGTCCCGGTTGTTCAAACGTTGGTTAGTGATATTTACCGGATAAATCACTATCCTGCGGATAAGAATTAGTGAAACCAATTGCGCTTTTCAGTGGATAGCGTCCATGGCGTTATTCACTTTTGAACAACTGGAGCGGGCTGTATAATTAAAAATGCTATGAATGAAAAAGGTTTCAAAGTTGCTCTGTTGTTCTCAGGACCCCGGAGTATAGACAATGCGTGTTAAAAGGTCTAGGGACTAGGTATTTCACCTTCTCCTCTTTTAAGGATTTTGGATTTTGGATTCTCCTCTTTTAAGGATTTTGTAAGGATTTTTTTTTTATTTTGAGAATGTTGGGGCTGAATTTGGCGAAGGTTCAAGAATATGTAAAGCGATACCCATCGCTGAGATTTTGTTAAAAAGGAAAATCGCGTGTTTATGGACAATAAAAAAAGAAAAGAAAATTCTACGGCTCTAAAATGAGTTTTCTTTAGTTTGTAAAACTTGTGTTTTAAAACTCGTTATCCTCGTTCTAACAACACTTAAACAGAACAAGAGAAAACTATTATTGCACATAACACCGAAAAAAGAAGTGTATTTCACCATCAACGGCATATGACTGCCCATGGATAGTAGTCTACTCTTTTTACTATCCATGGGCTGCCATGCAGACCTGGAGTTTTAAAAAAGGTGTTGAGAAACAAGCTGAGATCTGAGCAACAAGTAATGGAGAGGAAGATTGTACACATAAATCTGAGGCAAAAGATACGACACAAGGAATACACGATATCGTACGCAAGAAAAAGTTTACATATATCGGAAAGAAAACGAGTCGAGTAAATGTGATAACCATGATAAAAGCATCCGAAGGAGGAAAGAGCAGCCGGTGAAGAAAGTGCGGATCGAGGAATTTTCCTTAAGGGAGGGGAGGAGAGGGTGGATCTAGCTTGTGCATACCGTCCATGCAAATTATTTCCCCTCTTTCTCGACACTTCATTAGTCTCCACTACGTAGTCCCTTGCTTAGGTGCTACAGAAAACCGACATGTGACGTTCTACTCGTTAAGGACACATCTCTGAAACTTTAGTGACACAGTAATTTTGTCAGTCCGATATGTTGATGGTACTTCGGATCCCTCCGACCCTACCCCTGGAAAGTTGAAATTTGACAAAGCAGGATGACAGGGAATTTAAAGATTGAATAGAGAGAAAGAATATTAAGCTCGTAGGAGAGAGGCTTAGAATTTGTACATGCAGAAGATATGGTGATTATACGGATAGCTTGCGTAGCTGGCGGGGTTGTTACGCGCGGGATATGAGTCGCGTGGGAAAATTTCACTTTGACCTGTTCACAAACTTTCCGCGGCTCCGGCGCTCCGCCGCCGAAAAAAAGACGGCACTCCCCCACCAATCCCGCCAGCTACGCAGGCTATTGCACGGATTACACCAGATTACAGTAGTTGATCACAAGTGGGAGAGAGAGAATTATGTAAGGTTTTAAGGTATCCGAACGTAGATATCGCCTTCATTTACAGAAAATTGCTACTACTTTAGACTATAGTAGATAGTAGAGATGAGGAGTTTCCAAGACAGGCTTCCAAGAAATGTGCCTTCTGCACACGCACTATAGGAGAATTATTTATTAAGTTGTTTATCCGGACGGGATAATCTGTTTGCGCTGTGGAAAAAAATAATAAATAAGAATAATGAACGTAGACTTTTAAAGGTAGAGAGTGAGTTTATTTGCATTAAACCAAGAGGAAATATGAAAGAGCTCTTGATTAATATTTGCTTAATTAGCCAAGTCTCTTAATGATGTAAAAAGATATCACTATCATACGCAAAGAGGATTAATGAGAGGTGACTTGAAGAGTGAAAAGGATCAATGATGTAATAGCGGAAAAGGAGAGGGCAAAAAAAGAGAGCTTTGGGGAACCCCCCACACACAACAATGATAAATGAAGAGACGTGATGATGGACCATATCATACTGTTCTCTGTGAGCTAAATCACTGGTAAGCCAAGGTAACGGATCTGGAATACCGCGTATACAATAGAAATTCATTTTATCAGGCAAGTATCCCCTGAATGAAGGTTGGCTGGGGCTTGTTAAAAAAATAACCAAAAAACAAAATATCTTTACTAGAGCCGAAAAAGGCGTCTGCTCTCGCAAGCAGCTAGATAATGCAAAAAGATCATGAATAACGTATCCCTGCAATGTTGTGTGTTGAATTCCCACAAGTGCAGTACATCGATTTTTGTGAGTTAATTCATTTTTGAAAGCAGTCGTCATTGTGACTAATGAACACTTAACACATTGCTAAGGTGTCCCCTGAATGGAGGTTAAACCCGCGTTTCGGGACCCTTAAAATGCGTCCCTTTCCCCTGAATAGAGGTGTCCCTTCAATAGAGGTAACAGATACAAAGATTATGTGAACATTTTTCCGGGACCAAATTTTATGTCCCCTGAATGGAGATGTCCCTTGAAAAGAGGTGTCCTAAAGGAGAGGTTCCACTATAGTATCTATTTTTTTCAACAGAAATGGCTAACTTTACTTTCAACAAATGCTCTTTTAATGTGCGCGAGGGCGCGTGCGCGTGAATGAAGCCCCTGCTATAAAGGAGGAAATGATTAATATGGGTGAGTGTGGTTACACGTGACTTGCGATCGGGTGCCTGACAGTGTGCTCATTGGCCTGAGTGTCACAAGTTCCAGGATATCATTTAAAGGTTAGACAACATAAACTTCTTAGTACTTAGTACTACTAAGTACTTAAATACACACCTTCACAATACAGTCAGTCATTTCTGTTCGAGCCACACAGCTGAAAATTATCTTAACAGCAATCCACGTAAAAATCGAGCTTGCGAATGGTTACTAGCCTGCTACAGCTCTCTTGTTGGCGTTTTGCGCTAAATTCGCGGTGGCCTTCGCGCAAGGCGTTACTACAAGCGGTGGAGATTACAAACAAATCACCGAATCGCCTCATGCACCGACTTGTCTTGGGGCGTCGCAGCTCGCTCAAACAATATGTACGTTTACGGTAAACCAACCAAAAGCTAACGCCTGTAGAACAGGCATTACTTTTCAGAGACGTTTTACAGGCGAACGTGAATCATGATCCGAACGTGGATCTTGATTCACGCGCTTAAGAAGAGGCAAGATATTTAGTGCTCGTTATATAGCGGGCCACGCGTCCACGCTTCACGGATTCACGATTCTAAACGCCGTGCAGGCTCGCCATTGTTTGCTGAACTAATCGTCAACTTTGCTACCTTGTATTTTCGCGCAGAAGTTCGGACTGAGGTTGCTCTAACATTCTGCTGTTAAGGTAGATTTCCACTGTGGAGTTATTTTTACACGCGTATGGACGTATAATTTACTTGCGAAAATAAAATAAAGGCGTTGTATGAAAAGTCGCCCGTAAACGTTAATATTGAACCTCCTTCAAGTTTTTCGTTTACGCGCTACACTGCAACATGCTGGGTATTAGTTCAAAACCGTCTAGAGAACCCTTATGCATGCGTAGGTAGACCGAGTATATTATGTTCAACAGAAGTAGCTTCAATTGCGTGCTTAAAACAACATATATCCTGGTTGTTTCATCTCCTTTTGCCTCGCTTGTTACCAGCCGGTGGCCTTTGAAGCTGAAACTTTGGTTGTGCAGTAAACGCTGAAGTCCCGGTGCCGAAACCGGTCCCCCCAAGTCCTGCTCCAGTAGAGCCAAAAGCTCCTCCTGTGGAGGACCCAAGGGCAGGGGTGCCAAATCCTCCCGTAAGACTTGGGGTCCCAAATCCAGTGGTCGCTCCGAGACCCGTGGCTCGTAAAGTGTTGGTACCAAGAGGCGTTCCAAATGTGGAGCCTGATGTTAGACTGGTACTGCCGAGTCCTGTGCTGGTGCCAAATGGATTTCCCAGAGACGATGTTCCTGCTGCCCCCAAAGAACCTGTTCAACCGGCAGGGTTTGTCTGAAAACTGCCAATCCCTAGGGTAACAAAAAATGTACCAAAATTGTTATCAAGTCGGCTTTATCACTTATAAGCAATTCCACAAGATTTATATAGTTCTCGGCGTGATAAACAGCCTTTGCTAAGTTATGATGTAGATGTACAATGGAGTTCAAAAGCGTTGGGAAATGCAAAGCAATATTAGTAAACTGGCGACCTCCCCCCCCCTTCCCACCCCGCAATTTTTGTAAATTGGTGGAAATCACCTTCGAACTCTTCTTGGCATTTCTGCAAGATGTCCCAGTATACTGGGTTTTAATGTTCAAACATGGTGCCTTTTGCGAAATTCTTGAAGCTCACTGGGTGAGCAGAGAGGGGTAATGGGTCATGAAATCTACAGATCGATTTACGTTTCTGATAAACTGTCCACCTACCTCACCCTAAGCCATCATTTTGCCCTTGATGAGAAGTAAGTGTTAATGTTAGCTTAAGGGAGGGGTAGGTCGACAGTTTCCCAGAAACCTTAATTGATCAAAATCTACCATGGAGGGCAAAAGAACTTTGGACGCGGTGGAAAAACCCTTGCAGGCAATTACAGGTAAAAAGCAATCATGATATTGCCATTATTGTTACAACATGCTGTAAGCCGCTTTCAATAGAACACACGCACCAAGTATCCAGTAAATTCAATACCTGATATATTTGTGGCGGTTGACGAAGCAGACGCTGAATTATTGGATAATACACGAAAAGGATTGGGACCAAGGCTAAATTCTGCACCTAAGTAACAAAAAGGATAAGAGGAAAGTTAAAGCGTCAATCGTAGAAAAATTTAGAAGCGAGTCCGTGCCTTAAATAATAAAATTTAAAATCGTCTGAAGTGATAAATGGACATTCTGATCTCTGATATAGCCAAAAATAAGGCACGTAAGAAGTCAAATGAATTTCAAAGCAAGGATAAAATTAAACTACAACATGGACAATATGCTTACTTGTCTTCGATAGGTCCTTTAAGACGCTTGAAAATACATCTGTGGTGTCCTTGAAATAAGCTCTTCTGTAGTTAAGATATTGTTCCTTTTGAACCTGGTGCAATAATCAAAAAATGTTTCAGATAGTCATCATTTTCCAGCCTTAATCATCTTTGCGTAAGCATGGAGAAGAACTCCAAGTTCTTACTGCGCTTTTCATAAACACGCGAATCCTGAGGTTCAAAAGCCAACTGACGTTTGCATTTTTCGCTGCCGTCAATCATCTTAGCGGATCTCTTAGGAAACAGAAGTTTACTTCAACGGATTTAAAAGGTCATGGTTTGTGATTTGTGATTGGTGGATTTCGATCCATTTTGTGTGTTTGTGTGTTTCAAGGTTCGTTGCTTCTGATCCTAATTATGATTGACGGCAGTGAAGAACACCCAGTTGTGAAGGCGACTTTTGAACTTCAGAGTTCGTGTGTTTTTGACAAGCGCAGTAATATCGGAGTCTCCAAAAGACTATATGGAGAAAGAATTTAAACAACATAATCTTAGATTTGTATCATCTTGAATAATACGCTAATATCTTCGAGAGAAGAAAATAAAAAAAAATGATTTCAAGTTGAAAAAGAAAGAAAAGAAAGGTCAATAATGTACGATCAAGGGACGTGTTTGTACGATTTTCACGAGAATTTTTAAAAGGAAAAATATCGAATATTATCCAATACTCAATAAAACTAGTTAAAAAGGTCAGGTTTATTATTCAAGTTGTGATTCACTTCCAAATCAGCATCCGCGGTAAGAGACGACGGTAAATAGTTTTAGTGCGTGCATAGAGTATTTCTTAAAAGAAAAAACTAGAACATTTTTTGTCGCCACTGATACAATAAATCTGTTTTGGTTTTCATTGATATTGCTCTTGACGACAACGTCAGTGTCCTTTTAAAGCGAAAGATGAACTAATTTATGGGTTAAGGTTCAGTCTGCAGCATAATCATTTAACTGATGTTTTCTGTGTTCAGAGCTCGTACAATGTGGATCCATTTTTAGGACTTCCACGAGTCCTGTTTGCTTAAATATACCAAAACCTAAAGCGTAGTTTCCATTTCATCGTCTGCTCCGCCTCAAGCTGTTTTCCAGGCGAACGCGACGATCATATGTATATAATTCTGACGTTTTGGTGAGTAATCAGGACAATTTGGGGAAGTCATTACCTGGTCCCCTAAGCCTCATTATTCCGCGCGGCCAATACGTTTCGTGTCACGTGGTCCACCCGTTTTCCTCGGTGACGTCACCAAAGTGAATTGACCGAGAAGGCCTGGGAAAACCTCGTAAAGGGCCTTGGCAAAAGAAATCATAATTGCCTGGACACAACAGACAAGGACTGGGAGGAGACAGAGCGGAAAAGCGGTGGAAAAGCCCTCTCCATTCCACCTTCCTTCCCAGTCCTCTGTCTTTTCTTTTTCTACGCTCGCTTTCTTTTTTGCTCGTTCCGACTACCTAAGACCTTGAAACAGGCTAGCTGGTTGCCTTACAACGAAACCAGGCTTTACCCTGACGGCTTCGTGAATTTCATGAAGCTGTGGTCGTAGTTTGTCACCGAGGATACCACAGGGACAGAGGTAGGTGCCCGCGTTACTGCATTGTCCTTGTTTAAAGGTAGGGATTGTGTGAATTGGCATCTCTGGAACCAATTGATACAGAGATGTCCGTATTGTAGAGGAAGGGATTCTCTCGAACCAATAGAACTCTCCCTGATATATATACCGAGGTGCCCTTACTACAGAGTTTTTCGCAAGGAGAGGTTTTACCAGAGTCAAAGGGACAGACCAAAGACACAACTGTCCGCAGAACAAAGGTGTCTGCATTATAGAGGTCAACACTGAAAGAAGTTTGGGGGAGGGGAGGGATCGTAAAAAGGTCCGCCATAGAGCGGTGTCCGTATTATATAGGTGCTTATATTGAGGAATTCTACACTACATTTCTCATTGAAGAGAAGTAAAGACGAAGGCGAAGGCGACGGCAACGAGATCGACAAAAAAATTAGCAGGTTTCACAAGCAAAACAACTCTGCACGTGCATGATACCTTCGGTACGTTTCTTTGCTGCCACCGTACGTGACGTAAAATTTCCTGATGCGACGCTTTATGGAGGAGGTAAACACAGAAGGGGGATTTCTTATTTCTCTTCCTGAACCTAGGTCAGGTCTGTCGAATTCAACTCCAGGAAATCTCAACTAACTTGATATTGAGCGAGTTGAAATCCGTAGTCTGTTCTTGATAGGAGGTCTATTGTCTTTCGAGCCTTCTTATTGGTCTAGAGGATATTTCGATCTATTGTTGGGGGAAATCGGAAATATCTTAGAACGAGGCTCGGGTGTGGTCGGAAGCCTTCGGAGAAGGCTCGGGTCCCTTCGGAAGGGGGTCGGAATTATGTTAATGAGGGATGATGTCATGAGGCAAGAAGAAAAGACACTTGAGTAGTTATTATACTAAAGACGGAAGCGAACTTATGTGTGTAATCGGTTGAGTCAACTCACACATGTGGGAGAAGAAGTGTCCCCTGCGCAGTAACAAAAAACATTGTGAATAAATTTGTTTAATCAACAAATTACAAGTATTATAAAGTCAGAGAAAAGTCTGGAGAGATACTGGAATACAAGTCGATCAGCCAGTCAAGAAGAAATCCATTTACCAATAAATCGAGAATGACTGGATTTCCTTGCGCTCCATAAACTGGATATTGGTACAATGGAATAGAAGGACCGTAATAGTCGCGCAGTAAATCCAAACTGAGACGATTCAAGCATCGCTGAATTTCTTTTCATGCTTGTTCTCTGTCACAATCATATCAATCTAGAAGAAAAAGTGTGTTTAAGAAATATTGCTTGAAGGTAAAGGATTGTGAAATAGTCATTGACGTGTAAATAAGATGGCGACTAATCCCCGAAAACAAAGGGCAAATGAATTGCGAAATAAAACAAACGTTCAAACGTACCGAGTATTGCTTGGTTTTTCGTCTGAAACAGTGAGGACAACCGTAAAAGCGAGGATAAGGTTTGTTTTCCATAGCAGAAGAAAAACGTTTGTAGCCGCTTGAAAACGAAAATGCCACGGACATTGGAATACCTGTTCGAAGGCAACAGGGAAGGCGGGTTAATTCTTCATTCATTTTTGTCCTTCTGTCATTTGTCATGAAACATTGGGTCCGGAACATAATGATTACTTGCACCCCGAAAGGTGGCAGGTTGCCGAACGGCTTGTTTTTTGGGTCTCATAAACCCTTGTATTTCATTGCTTCGTTAGAAAAAAAGCACAACAGAGCGTGTCTTGCCATGTGCTCTATGCAAATGCCAGGTGTGTGAAAAACACAAGGGAATAGGCTACACCAATAAAGCTGGAAAAAGTCGCAGGGGAATCCAAAAAGCACCAATGAAAGAAAAGCCAACAGTTCAAAAAAAAAGAAGCATGAAATAAGCCTCATTTCGCTTTACCGTTGTACCTTGTTTCTTAATCGAAAATGATGTCCTTCAAGAACTAAGTCTGAAACCTGTGCCAAACCCAGGGGAGCAAGCCAGGAAGGTTTTGCCGCCATGGCATATGGTACGCATTGCCCTTGAAGAACAGGAATTCAATGAGATGAGAGACAGGTTAAGAGAGGAACACAAACTTCGTTTTCGGTACGTACTCATTGAATTGCGTGTGTTATATTAGAAGACTTAAACTGGACCCTGGCCTTGTTTCCCAGGGAACCCTTGGGAACAGAAGAAAGGGGCCATTGTAGAGAGGATGAAACATTAGTGAATGTATGGACTGTCCGCCAAAAAATGGCCGTTGGAGAGAGGTGGCCGTTATACAGTGGAGCCTCCACTAACAGCCACCTCTCTACAATGGTCACTTTCTTCTGTCACCAAGATGGGCGTTGTAGAGAGGTTAAACTGTAATTTTTGATGAACGACCAAGGTAGCCGGTAGCTGTGTCATAAAATAAATCAAAATTCAAACAAAGAGAACCTTCACAAAATTAAGTGAAATATTTCAATAACTGCTTAAAACATGAAACAAAGGTAGAATTAACACAGCAAATAATAAAAGAGAACAAACTTAAGACGTGGACAACAGATGCCGGGGGGGGGAGGCTCCACATATGAAAGGGGTGGGGATGCTCGTCGGAAATTTCGAATTAAACCCCTAAAGGAGACCTATCTGGGCGTGGCTCAAGCTTTTTTTGACCCCTAAAAGACACCATATTAAAACACAGACAATGTATATATTTTTATATTTTTTCGCGTGCAACCCTAAACGAGACCTTCACGGCTAAATACGATGGCGTTTTGCCCAGAACACCCTAAGTGAGACCGAAATCCGAAATTTACACCCCTAAGCGAGACGACAAGCATCCCCACCCCTTTCATATGTGGAGTCCCCCCCCCCCCCCCCCCCCGGCACCGAGGGCAAAAACCTCTTGTGATACAGGCCAGCAACAGACAAAGGCCGTTTTTGTTTTTTTAACTGATTATTAGTATTATCTTTTATAATTTTTCGAGTACAATCCTAAAACAGGCCTTCACGGATAAAGACAATGGCGTTTTGCCCAAAACACCCAAAATTAACCCTAAAACCGAAAATTACCCCCCCAAGCGGGACCACAAGCATCCCCACCCCTTTCATATGTGGAGACCCCCCCCCCCCCTCCTCCCCGGGAACAGATGGCAAAAATCGTTTTTGAAAAAGTGCTAGCATAGCAAAAGTTCGTTTTTGTTTTTTGTAACGTTTGATATAATGCCTGGGAGACATATTTGTTTGACATGAAGCTGTGATTTTGCCATTCACAAGTAATTTCTGAAGTTCCACAGCAAATAAGAACACGTAATTGGCAAAATTAGAGAGCTAAGCAAAGGCGTTTTTACTTTCTTGAGAGACGCACGTCAACCGGAAGTCAGGACTTTTCCCTTTTAATACGCCTTGATGCTATAAAATTTGCATCGCTTAGTTTCTTTACACTTGTAGAGATGATTTAACTGAAAATTTTGGCAAAACCACTGCTCAGGAATGTAAAAAGTCTACATCCGGTTAACGTGCGTTGCTCAAAAACCCCTTTGCTTAAGTTTCCTATTGACAAAATGAACTACACAGTCGTGACACAGCCCCTTCAAAAATATTATTATAATACAGTCTAACTATTTTGCAAAACAAATAAGGAAAAGAAGGAAACTCAGGTAAGCGGACAGCTCTACTTCTGGCAGCCTTGACAAACCCTGTTTGAAATCACCATAAGCAGTAATTCCTACGCACATGGAGGTGTTCGATTTAGTTTCTTTCTTGCTTTCTAATGAAAGTAATACAGTCAAACCTGTATTATAACTGCCCTGTATATAGCAGTCACCCTGTATATTACAGTCACTGGACAACTTCCCAAAATTTCCAGTTGCCTTAATTATATTTTCTGCAAAGTTGACCTGTATATAGCGGACACCAGCCGTGTATATAACGGTCACCTTAATGCCACTTCCGAAGGGTGACTGTTGTACGAAGGTTTGGCTGTATTTTGTTTCTCTCTCAGCAGCAGTTTTGTTATGAATAGAGGACAGCGAGTGATATACACTGAAGGATTTCAAAAGTTTCATACAGGCAAATATTAATTTGTTTAAATTCTTTTTTCCTTATTAGCCTTTTCCTCACTGCAGTAATAATTACAGTACAGCAGACTGACACATGCAGATCACGCTCTGTTGTGTGGCTACTGTTGCTGCTAATTAAGTGAAATCTGACGGTGGCAAGCCAGCTGTGCATTGACCCTTCCTGCATTGAGTGTTCCATTGAGCAAATGCAAGGAAGTGCGGTGAAGGCATGCAATATCTGACAATTTCTTACATTAATTAAATCACTTATGTATTTGCCTTTCTTCCCGAGCCTCGACTTGGTGCCTTTGTTCACAGAAATGTGACCGGAAATGTCCATTGATTCTTCATCTAAGGCAGTAAACTAGTCAAGATATACCTAAAGAATAATTCCCCTAAACTTGAATTTTTTCTGCTGCTTTGACCCGAGCTCGATTTGCTCAGCTGTAAAACAACCCCAAAGGACTAGCGCTAACTGGATCAATCAACAACTTTAGTCCTTCTGACATGACAGTTGTGTTAAAAAATGAAAGCTTAATTCACTAACATCATGTTAAAGCTACCAACCATCAAATTATAGGCCACTTGCATTAAATTAAGAGCTCACGTGACCAATCTTCCTTTTTTAAAACAATGAGTTAAAATTTTGCTGATACCAAAAGTTGACAGCACACATAAAAATTACACACCAAATTTGAGAGGACACACATTTAAGGGAGATATTTTATGGAACCTTGATTTTTTCAACAAAAGAAATTGATTTGTTTTGGCCGCCATGTGGCCAAAACTACTTTTTCCTTGCTTTTGCATCTTGTTACACATTTGATAGTTTAACCCTCAAATGTGCTGTAAACGTTAACACATCATCTTTTTAATCCTTGAAGTTTAAGTGCAAAATTTGTGTTCAGAAAGAGATATTCATAATTTTAAAATTCACTTTTTAGTCAAACGTGACCAGCTGCGATCTTACTCA